ATATATATATGAAGGGAAAATACTATATTGTTTTCTAGTCAATTTCAAATGTTGAGTGAATTCATAAACATTGAGCAGCTTAGAAGGGTCTATAAGATTTTGCAAGATAAGAAACAAGATATGCTAGGCTTGTGTATGGCAGGCTGGGTAGGCAGAGGATCGAAGTTGGGGGATAGTAAGAGCTGATGGCAAATGTTCTGTCTAGTAGGGGTAACTAGCCAGGTAATGTGCTGCTTGTTACACTAGTCACATTTAGTACTCAACAGCAACGTGTGGCTAGTTTATTGAACAACAAAGATGTAAAACATTACCACTGCAGAGTTCTTTTGGACAGTATAGACTATGGCCTTGAGTATAAAAGAATAGTTCAAAATTGACTTGACTTCAAACTAAAGTTAATCGAGTGAAAGTCCAAGATAGCATAAATTTTGTTTTTTGAACCTCTCAGAACACTCTAGGAGGTATGGAAATTTTTTTTTAGACAATCTGTCACTGTCACGCTGGAGTGCAGTGGCACATTCGTGGCTCACTGTGGCCTTTCAGGCTCTATAGGTCCTACTTTAGCCTTGGAGTAGTTGGGCACCACCATGCCTGGCGAATTTGCCTGGCATTTTTTTTAAGATGGGGTCTCACTATGTTGGTCTAGGCTGGTCTCAACTCTCGGGCTCAAGCAATTCTCCCATCTCAGCCTCCCAAAGTGTTGGGATTACAGTGTCTGCTACTGTGCTTGGCCAGAACTTACTGACAGTTGCGAAGGTTTAGGAGTTATAAACTGAAAACAAAAAGGTTGAAATTCACAATGAAAAAAATTGAGCCTTGTAATTATGAAAGGCAAGAAAAGTTCAGCATCAAATGAAAAGCTGGGAAAAGGTATGGGTTATAAGAGGGCAATTTCTGCCTTTTGTATATGAATTTAAGTTGACTAAGATACATGGGAATGACTGAGTAAGAGAATGCAAAGGGCTAGGGTGTCTAGGAGTAACATGGTTTGCACATAATCCCAATAACTGACGATTATAGCTGCATTTGTTGATTGTAAAAATCATGTATACAAGTTTATTTTTAAATACATCACCATCACTTTTTACTTTTTTGGAGACAGGGTCTTGCTCTGTTGCCCAGACTTGAGTGCAGTGGCTTACTCTGCTCACTGTAGCTTTGACCTCCCAGGCTCAAGCTATCCTCTCACCTCAGCCTTCCTAGTAGCTGGGACTGCAGGCACGCAGCACTATGCTCGGCTAATTTTTGTATTTTTTATAGAGAGGGAGTTTTGCCATGTGGCTCAGGCTGATCTCGAATTCCTGGGCTCAAAGGATCCACCCATTTCAGCCCAAAGTGTTGGGATTACAGGCGTGAACCACCTCACCTGGCCTCCCATCACTTTTTAAAGAACGTTTTAATGCAGCTGTTTTGTAATATTTATGGACAATCCCTCACCAACCTACGAGTTTAGAAAATCCTAAAATATTCTACTTAGAGAATTCTTGGTTTTAAAGACCAAAAGTGAATTAACTAGAAGACAGTAGCCTGGGCTTAAAATCTGATCTGGGTTCATAGTACTTCCTTCGTAGGATGATTTGTAAAGAATAAATGCTTATAAAACACCTGGAATGGCTGGGTGCAGTGGGTCATGCCTGTAACCCCAGCACTTTGTGAGGCCGAGGTGGGCGGATCACTTGAGGTCAAGAGTTCGAGACCAGCCTGACCAACATG